CTGCTGGGATTAGAACCAGTGCCCATATGGGATCCCGGTGTGTTCAAGGTGAGGACTTTAGCTGCTAGGTCATGCCACCGGGCCCTAAGCTTGTCTTTTAATTCCAATTTCCATGAACTTTTAAAAGCACCTTTTTAGTAGTGGTGTCATTATCATAAATGTCATACATTTTAGAATGTTTTATTTTGTTACTGTAAATATTATAATGAATGTTTTAAAATTTCCCTGGTCCATGTTTGTGCCAAAGGTCACTCAGGGGCCTTCATGGACTTAAAGTTCTCAAAATCTTGTGGGAGACACTGACATTTTAGAAATTGAGAGATGTTTTTCTCAGATCTCTGTTCCAGGAAAGTAACTGTCCTTATCCCAAAATATTAATTCTGCTGTTGGATTTTAAATCATGGAATGGATGGAAAATTTGTATTTTGTCATTTTGTTCCCATAACATCAGCTGACCTATGCTGGGCAAACTGCATAATGAACATATGCTAGAGTATATACAAATTTGATAAAGCAGGGACCAAATGGTAGAAATGAATAAAAGAAATGCATAGAGTCAATCTTTGAATACTGGTGCTTCCTTTCTGAGTTTATTTTAAAAATTACTTTTATTTGAAATAGATGGAGGGAGGGGTAGAGAGAGAGGAAGAGATAAAGGGAGAGAGAAGAAAGGTAAAGATTTTCCATTCATTGGTTCACTCTCCAAATTCCCACAACAGCCATGATTAAACAGGAGTCCAGAACTCAGCAGGATCATGGGTACTTGATCTGCTGCCTCTCAGGGTGTACAATAATGGGAAGCTGGAATAAGAAGTGGAGCTGGATTCAAACTGAGGAACTCTGAGATGGGATGCAAGTACCTTAACCACCATGCCATATGTCACCCCCCAGTACCTCGTGTCTTAATCTAAATTATAATTACATCTCATTTTGGCATGAGGACTGCATCACAGTTAGGAACCCTCCAGCTACTAAAGGAACTTTCAGTGGAATAAAAATGTCCTTTCTTTCAAAGCACTGATATAGCTTTTGAGAAAAAAAAAAAAAAAACAGATGAACTTTTCAAGTTACCCCACCCACCCCCCAAAAAGAGGGAAGGTCTTTGTTAAGGTGGGTGTAAAAAACCCAGTCTGCTGAAATGCGGAACTCCCTAATGAGGTAAGTCTTATTAGATAATGTCAGTGATTTTTGCAGTATCCTTCAGATAACCATAGTTTAAATCCCATTTAATAAATCACAAATTTGAAGTAGGATTATGAGGTTGAACATGTTATCCTTTCAAGTAAGATATACAAACTTGTTTCTAAAAGTTGAATCCCATCAGACCAGCCACACTAGGGCCACAAATGCCTTTTGCTTCTTACACGTATTGTAACTCATTGCCATCGATATTGTCAGTTTTCACTTTGCTTTAATTCCACTCATTAATGCTCTGTTAGATCATCAGGGGCAGGAGATACCGTGATTATGCAGGGCTGAAAGCATACAGGTTTTGTACAATATCTTGCGTTTTGTGAGGCTTTGTTGTGTAAACATTTTGGGATGTATCAGGCCTTTAGAGTTGATGAGAGTAATAACATCCAAGAGCCCTACATTTAGGGTCCAGCTAGTGGAGTGCACTGAGATTGGGTTAATGTTTAATAGGGGCTGATTCACTTAGGGAGTTGGTAGACAGCAGTTTTATTTATTTATTTATTTATTTATTTTCACTGGACTGGCCTTTACTGCACAATTAATCAAGTCCTGCTGAAACAAATAGTCTTAGGAAACCAGTTGGAGGAAAGCAACACCTTGAAAGCAGTGGGTTCATAGCAGTAGATTTATTGTCAGGACTGCAACAGCTGCCTTCAGCCCAGTTGGATTAACAAGTATCTGAGTCGCTCTTGCTTTCAGGACAGAGTACTGCTCCTAAGGAAAAAAGCCCATTTTCTTGATTGTACTCTGGGTTTCCAAAGTGACTAGAGGCAATTACAGAGCTGACCTTGTATGATAAGCTCATCTGTGGTTTCGTTTTTCATTGTTTTCTTTCATTGTAATGTGCACATAGAGCAGAAGACATAAAACGTGGGTGTGCTTTAAAGAATCATTAAAAAGTGAGCCCTCAGGTGACCAGCACCCAGGACCAGTGCAAGGGCCAGCCTTCCCAAGACTTATTCTTTCCAGGCACCGCTCTGGGAGGAGACCCTGGCCACCCTCTGCTCTGGGTAGGATACATTTGTGTCATAAAATGGTATCAGTGGATTTGCCTGATTTTGAACACATAGGGATGGAGTAATAGTGTTATGCCCCCTTTTCCATCTGCTGTTTTTCGCTTGGCATTATGTTTGTGGAACTTATTGTTGTTTTTTTTTTTTTTGATACAGATTATGACTACCCAGTGTTTTGGGTTTTATTTTTTTAAAGCCTTTTCTGTGTTTGCTCCCTTCCTGTTTTTGCCTAGGAATCCTGTAACTCTAAAGCTTTTGGATCTTTGTGTCTCACCTTCTGAGACTTCCTGCTAGATGAGGTCTGACAGCTAAATCTTATCTGGATCTTGGTTTCCTGAGCTCACCTGACTCTGCCCAGGTCGATGGCCGTGCTTTGTATGAGCCTACATCTTTAAGGCTTTGGTGCTCTGTTAAAAATCTGCCTTTCTCCAAGGCTGGTCCAAGGGTCTGGTCACGTGACGCCGACAGTGACATCACACTCTGACCGCCGGGAGCCCTGGTGCTTCTTGAGGTGGCGTTTGTTGCTGTGAAAAGGCAGAGAACGCAGCAAGTGCCCTTCTAAAGCACTCCGGTGCACGGGGCTGCTCCTGCCAAAAGCTTCGCCTAAATGAGCAAATGCGGGCCGCCAAGGTGATTTCTTTCTTGAGGCAGACAAGCAGAAAACTGTGATTGAAGGTAAGCAGACCTGAGCCCGTGGGAGGAAGCATGCCCCCCCACCCCTCTCCGGGAGAAGGGGTTCTGAAGATGAGTCGCTTGGCAGTCTGTGGGATTCTAACCCTTGCCTGCCCTTTGCCAGCGGCCGCGCTGCTGAAGCAGACCCACTACAAAGGAGGAGGATGCAGTGCTCATGTTACTTAGTGATGTAATAGGATTCTTTCTTTCCTGCTAGGAAGCTGTTGCAGCTCTTCATTTTGCGTTTCAGAGTCTTCAAAACTGGGAGCCTCAGTTGATAGATAGGGTGACATGGCTGGCTAGCAGATGCGTTTTAAAATCACTTTCACAAAATCTCTCCCTCCCCCACCCTGCTTCTGAAAGGAGAACTCTTAAACCCAAGCAAATTCCACTGAAGCATTAACCTGCCCTAAAAAGTACATTGCTTTAGTGCCCTGTGTTCACCCATCAGTTTTTGACCTGGGAATTGAAACAGCTTCGTTTCCTGTCCCCCGTATACTCACCCCCGCCCCCACCCCCACATACTTTATTCTTTTCCTTTGCTTATTTTCTAGTTGGCTTCCCCCCGCCCCCCCCCCCCAAGCTCCCAGACGACACACAAAGCTTTCATCTTTATCAGCATGACACTGACATGATAGGAAATGCTGGGCTGGTGATTCAGCAGCCATCCATTTTACAGCCAGGTACCAGTGAAGATAGGGAAGGGACTTTGGCTTGGGGTTTTAAGATTAACTTATTGGCTTCCTCCACTCTACCTCCCCACCCCTCCCCCACCCTCTGGATGGTTTGTACTCTGCTGAGCTTTTCTTTTCAAATGTGTACCTTGCTTGTAAACGGTGTGCTGAAGACTTAACTGTTGGGAAGCCAGGTACAGTTTGGGTGTTCACTCACATTTACCCCACGAGAGTACTCAAGTTGTCTGGAGTTTATAGGAAAGATGGAGATTTGGATAGACGGGGGAAAGACAGTCGGGTGCAGACCATTGGGGCCTTCTCAACAGAGGGGTTCATTACCAAACCATATGGCTGAATCCTTGTCCCTGCCAAGGTTGGGGCTGGGAATGTGAGCCTTGGCCAGGGGAAATTGAATGATGACATTATTCTGTATTTTTCCCCAGTTGTGCATATGCATAAATTCCCCACTGCTGTTTTGCATTTTGTGTGTAAATGGCACAACATTCCCTTAGATGATATTGCAAAATACTCCAAGCGAGTGTGTAACCTTGTGCGAATGCAAGTGCTAAGTTTTAAAACTTCCCCTGCCAGGTATTTTGCTGATATTTGCTGAGCCTTAGATATGTACAAGACACTGTGGACAACAAGACAATGATGAATCAGATACAGGGCTACCAGCAGAGAGTTTTCAGTCTTGAGAGGAAGATAAAGCACATACGCCTATGTAATTGTAATGCAAGTGTTAACAAAGCTAAGGCGAGACTAGCAACTCTTCTGGATAGGCAAATGGATATATTCAGGTGAAGGGTCAGGAAGGGACGGTTCATCCCTTAGCCATGCACTGATTTTTAACTGTCTACTCAGGTTTTCATCTGTTCAGGCACTCATGGAAAGAGTCTCTACAAGCCCTGTACGTCAGGGCTCAAAGTCTGATACCTACTGAAGAGGAATGTGTACATTCCAGCCAGCTTAACTCTTCAGGAGGCCAACTTGCTGTCTTTGGAGTCCTTTCGGGCAAAAATCACTTCATAGGATTGAATCACTGCCTTATAAATATAAAATGATTCGTGATGTGATCTATCTGTAAAGACCTTGAACCATTTTGTCTCTCTTCCATAAACTGAAATACCAAAGCTGGCCCAAGCTCCTTCCTGTCTTCTGTTTCATAAATCCCTTCTCATTGCACATCAGCTTCTGTCATTTCATTCTGTTGTCACTCTTATCTGTCCCTTTCCATTCACACTGCCTCTAGCTGCTCGACCACAGAAAATTCTGAATGCGATGCATGTTCACATAAAGTGACTATATTTCTTTGTCATCACACCCTGATTGGGTCGCCTAATAGTTTAAGAACTCTTCTGTTGAAGCTCAGAAAGGAGATGTTAAACACGTTCAGCGGGTCCAGAGTATTTTGCAATATCTAATGCCTATTTCCTGTTCACCACAGAGGACAAGTCATACAATGGTGGAGGAGTAGGTTCTTCAAATAGGATCATGGACTTCTTGGAGGAGCCAATCCCTGGAGTAGGGACCTATGATGATTTCAATACAATTGACTGGGTGAGAGAGAAGTCTCGAGACCGGGATAGGCACCGAGAGGTAAGACAAAGTATGGTACACAAGTAAGTACTAGGAAACACTAATGGAAGAAGTTGAAGACACGTATTCTTTCTTTTCTCCAGCCCTGGATGTGGCTACATATGGTTTCTGTAGGCAATGTAAGGGTTTTTTGTTTGTTTTTAGAAGCATCCTACATAGGATTTTTAAATACTATTTTTTGAAAAATTTTATCTTTAGTGATGACTTATCTCCTATATGAAATAGTTGAAAAATGATCCTTACAGTCCTTAAATCAATAGACTTGCCTGTGCAGATATGAAAACAGGCTTGGAGGAGGGTAACAAATGTCTTCTTCCCCTTTCATGTTTGCCTTTATGATTTTCCCCTTGAATGTGGATTTTTAAAACTAAGAAAAGTAAGTGAACTCCTTTTAAAGGAATAAAACATGAAAGTCTGAGTGTCCTAGTGTTTACAGGAGCATACAGGACAGACCCCCTGAGATTATGGTTCTCATACAACTATATAAGCAAATATAGTAATGCATTCTATTTTGCCAAGACCAATCAAATTTAAGTTAAGGACATGAATTTGTTGAAGAACATTTGCCTTTTGTGTGTTACTTTCTATTGTTTAAGTTAGGGAATTATTAGGGTAGGCAACTGTTTTAGCTGTTACTAAGCCACCAATAAGGACAACCAAGTATGTAGCTTTGGTTCCTGTCCCTGGCTCTTGACCGCAGCTTCCGGTTAATACAGATCCTGGGAGGTAGCAGGTGATGGCTGAAGTAGTTGAGACTCTACCCATCCATGTTGGAGACCTGAGTGAGTCCCTGGCTCTTGGCTTTGACCCAGGTGTTGTTAGGGCTTGAGAAGTAAACTACCAAATGTATCTCTCCCTCTCTCTCAAATAAATAAGTAAATAAATAAAAAGTATTTTCAAATAAATAAATTAGGGAGTCCCAACTTACTGTTTGTGTAAGGACTGCGCACAGAAGCTATTTTTTTAAAAACTGGGTACCACCCCTAGCCCCAGAGATTTGTTCATTCTTTTACTATTTCTACTTAGAGTCCAAACTTAAAATATAATTTTAAAAAGATTTATTTATTTATTGGAAAGTCACATATACAGAGAGGAGGAGAGACAGAGAGGAAGATCTTTTGTCCGATGATTCACTCCCCATGTGAGCGCAACAGCCGATGCTACGCCGATCCGAAGCCAGGATCCACGAACTTCTTCCAGGTCTCCCACACGGGTACAGGGTCCCAAGGCTTTGGGCCGTCCTCGACTGCTTTCCCAGGCCACAAGCAGGGAGCTGGATGGGAAGTGGAGAAGCCGGGATTAGAACCGGCGCCCATATGGGATCCTGGTGCTTTCAAGGTGAGGACTTCAGCCACTAGGCCACACCACTGGGCCCTAAAATACAATTTTTAACAATTTATTTATTTTATTTGAAAGTTAGAGTTACAGAGGGAGGGAGAGACACAGAGACTCTTCTACCTACTGGTTCACTTCTCTAATAGCTGCAATGACCAGAGCTGGCCTGGTCCAAAGCTGGGAGCCAGGAGATTCTTCCAAGTCTCCCGCTTAGGTGTGAGGGTCCAATGTCTTGGGCCATCTTTCCCTGCTTTCTCAGTTCATTAGCAGGGAGCTGGATCAGAAGTGGAGCAGCTGAGATTTGAACCAGTCTCTTATGGGATGCTTTCACTATAGGTAGAAGATGAGCTTTCCACTCCGTGTAGTAGACCCTACAATATAATTTTCTATATTTTATTTAATTTTTTCAAAGATTTATTATTTTTTTACTTGAATATTATGAGTTATAGAGAAAAGGGGGGAGAGAGAGAGAGATCTTCCACCAACTGGTTCACTCCCCAAATGGTCACAACAGCCATGGCTGACCTGGTCTAGAGCCAGGAGCTTCTTCTAGGTTTCCCATGTGGGCATGGGGACCCAAGGCCTTGATCAACCCTCTTTTGATTTCCCAGACCTTTACTAGGGAGATGGCCTGGAAGTGGAGCAGCTGGGACATGAACCAGTGCCCATAGGGAATGCTGGTACTAAAAACAGTGTTAGCCTTGTATTCTACTGCACTGGCTCCAACTATAATTTTTTCAACAGTTCTTTTTAAAAATAAGCAATCAAAAGATTTGTTTATTTGAAAAGCAGGGTTAAAAAGAGAGGAGAGGCACACACAGAGAGAGGGAGATCTTTTATCCATATATCCCTCCTCAAATGGTCACAATCGCTGGAACTGGGCCAGGCCAAAGCCAGAACCCGGAACTCCATCCAGCTTCTCACATGGGTGGCAGGGGCCCAAGCACCTGAGCTTAAAATTTGATTAGCAAGCTGACCTTATTCTCCTTCCTCCTGGAGGTCATGGTTTCCCTTTCACAGAGCCAAGCCAATCTTCAGAGCAGTCAGGTGGGGAATGCCTTTCATGTGTAAGCCTTTGCCAGTTCCTGGCTGCTTTTCTCATGACCACCTGCACTCAAGAGCCAGGTTGTTCCAGGTACAGGTTTGGAGAAATTCCTTCTTGTTGAACTTATAGTAAATCTATGGAATTATCACAACTTAAACAGGTGATTTCTAGAAAAAGTGCTATGTTTTCTGTTAAGATTTTTTGCCATTAGGAAACTCATGCATATACTCTTTGTGCTGTATTGTTTCATTGTGAAGGCTTTGGAATTAGAATCTTAGTGACATTAGAACGTTGATCCATAATCTAGGGTTTAGTTTGTCATCAGTTGCATATTGAGACTACTGTCTAAATTGTGAAGGTCACCTGTGGTGGGACAAGGCGCATTTCCCATCAGATTGCATCTGAGACAAATGATGCCAATTAATAGCAATTCAAAACCAATTAAAGAGTACTTATTGCATGTTCCAAGGAGTCTTTTCGAGCATTAATTGTTCTTTATCAGAAAAGATTTGATGCCACAGGGGAAATTATAGCCCCATTCATTTTAGCACTGAAATTTCCCCAGGTCAAAATTTTTAAACTACTTTTGAAATTTTTATAATAATTCATGATTATTTGTGTTATTGCAAAACATGAAAATGTGGTATTTAAGTCACTGTTTCAAGGATAAGAAATAGAGAAGTGAAAAGCACCAGTGATGAAGTCATTGGAATGCTAGTTTAAAAAGTATGGGCAATGAAGTGTTAAATTGGCCAGGCCAGGATCTGAATCATAAAACTTTGGGTGCCATCTTAGGTGGCCTCAGCTGTTACCAACAGGTATGTTTCTGAAAATGAAAGATGTGTCATTGATTTCATCAGTATCTGCAATTAATATATAATTAGGAGTGTGTAGGATCAAATATGTCTGACCCAAACTATAGGCCAATGTAGTAAGCCTCCAATTACATTGTCATTCACATAAAGCCAAGTTTGTTTGTCCTTTGGCAAAGATTTAAACTGTGTGTCGTGCAAGACCATCCTTGGAGTATCTGATGTCCAGAATACAAAGGGATCCCCAATTGATGCTAGAAATGAACAGCTTTGAAGGGGGAACTCCCTGACACAGGCCCATGTAGACAAGATTGTACCTGAAGGTGGGGTTTAATAAGTTTCAGAAGTCTGGGAGAAAATAACTCCTCAAAACATTTTAGGAGAAGGTAAGTCTTGATTGGTCTCTACTCCCACGTAATTGTTTTTGTATTATTTTACTGACCTGTTTTGAAGTAACAAAAGGAAGTCTATAGATAGAATATACCAATGTTTTCTCATTTTCCTCTAGATTACCAATAAAAGCAAGGAATCGACCTGGGCCTTAATTCACAGTGTCAGTGATGCCTTTTCTGGTTGGTTATTGATGCTCCTCATTGGGCTTTTTTCAGGTATGATACATCTTGTGAGTTTTTAAAGTCAAATCTCCTAGTGTGCTGATACCCTGCCCTTCCAAGTCATGAACTGACTTGGTGCTGTATTTTTCTAGTTTCCTACATGAAATGAATTGCTGGTGAGCCTTTCAGAAGTCCAATGTTTCCATTCTCTTAAGATTTATTTGTTTTTATTAGAAAAGCCAATTTACAGAGAGGAGAGACAGAAAGATCTGCCAGTTCACTCCCTAAATCATCACAGCAGCCAGAGCTGAGCCCATCTGAAGCCAGGAGCTTTCTCTAGATTTCCCATTCAAGTTCAGGGCCCCAAGGCTTTGGTCCATCTTCCATTGCTTTTCTAGGCCGTAAGCAGGGAGCTGGATAGGAAGTGGAGCAGACACGACATGAACTGGCACCTATATGGGATGCTGACACTGGCTGGTGGAGGATGAACCAATTAAGCATCATGTCAGGCCCCCTTCCCCTCAATTTTCTGTTTGTAAAGGAGCCTTACTAATGCCTGCATCACTTATGTTCAACAGTAGGGAAATGCACCTCGGCTGTTTTTGTTTTTGTTTTTGTTTTTGTTTTTTATGCAATGTGATAGAGTACCCATTTGAAGGATACTCAGTTCAATGCTTGCCTTGAAAAAGAGTCCTTCTATTCTATGGAAAGCTGTTTTTGTTTTGTTTTATTTGTTTTAACCACATCCTGCATGATGCTTAGGAAGGATGTGGAAAAGGCTTCCTGAAACATTTTGTAAGATGCTTCTTAAACATATACTCTCTCCTTTGGGGCAAGGTATGTAATATATGGCTCATGCGCTCATAGAGCTTATCGTCTTATCCTTTTATGCTAGCTGAGGGGTGGGATGGTACCATCTGCTCCCTGAATGCTTCACCTACACCTCTATCACTGCAAATAATGCATGAAGAGCATCCTGCATCTAAAACACTTGCGAGCATAGGTGTATTGGATTTTGACATTATTACCTATATAATATCTTATGGATGAGACCTAAAGCTAAGCATGAAATTCATTTATATATATCATATGTACTTTATATTATTACACATAGCCTGAAGGTAAATTTCATACTTTAGTGCACGTGTATTTTGATTGAGACCCATCACTTGAGATCATGTGTGGAATTTTCCACTACTTGTAGCACGTTGAGACTTAGTGAGATTCTGATTTTTCATTTTGGGATTAAGGAGACTTAACCTATATATGCAGTCTAAGACTAGTATTTTTGTGTATAAATACAGCTCTAAAACAAGTTCCCAAGCAGGCTTCAAGCAGAGTCAAACAGAGTCAAGGATGCCAGGCAGAGATGCCAAGAGATGTGTCCTTATGACATTAAAAGATGAGACCTAGGAAGATCTGGGTTCTTGAGCTGAACTAGAAGTAGCTAGAAAACTTGGAGTAGAAAATGGCAGTGAGCCACACAATATTCACTTTTAGGCTGCTAAGATTTGAATCCCAGCCCGCAACTGCTTGCTAGTTTTGTGGCTTTTGGCAAATGTGTTCACCCCTGGAAGGTTTTGTTTACTTGCCTATAACATGAAGATAATGAAAGTATTTACATGAAAAGTTTGCTACTACTACTGCTATTAAAAATAATAATTTATGAACCATGGAATGGACAGCAAATGAGAAATGGCTCATCTATAGCTGAATTTTCAAAAGTTGCCTAAACCAGGGGTTGACAGACTTTATAAAGGAGCCAGACAGTAAATATTTTAAGATTTGTGAGCCAAATGGTCTCTGATGAAAGTAGCCACAGACCATAAGTAAACAAAGGAGCATAACCGTGGCTGGAAAACCTTTACTTAAACATACAGGATGGAGGCAGGATTTGACCCTGGGGCCATGGTTTGCCAGCCCATGGCTTCACGTGTTAACTCTGCCCTTCCTAGCTCTTAAGAGAGGAGAGAACCCGATCTGGCCCATTTGGAACTGGCTGCTAATGGACATGGGGAATCTGTGATCCTAAGTGCTGCAAAGAGCTTGAGGAGGAAGAAGTCATATGAGACAAGGTTATACAGGATAGCACAAAAGGAGATTAGCAGCCTTGGAAAAGATATGTCAGATAAACCTAAGGAGCCAAGTTTCAAAGGAACACAACCAGGGTCGATGTTGAGGTTGTCATTGGGAAGTGAGGAGAGGCAAGTGTTTGAAATGGCAACAGGGAAAGGGGGTGGTGGCATTTTACTTTTTAAGCAAATGGAAACTTAATAAAATTGATACCCAAAGAAGAAAGATTCAGCTGGCAGAAGGAGGAGGGGAGATGACAGTGTTAGGTAAAATAAGGCATACACACATGAAACACCCAGAAATTAAACCAAATGTAACAAAGTTTATGTGTTGATTTTCTGAATCCAGGCAGTAAGTACAATAAGAGTCACAAGAGAAAGCTGAGGGCTAGAGCAATCAAATCTAGATGTCCAAAGTGTGCTAGATTTGACTAGGTTGTTCAAGTATGTAAACAACCTGGGCTAACACCATTAGCACATGACATGGCCTCCCGCCGGGTGGAATGCAGGCATAATAGCCTCAATTTTTCAATGTATTTCTTGTCACTAGGTGGTCGGTGAATATTTTTCTTTCTATGTACACATAGGCTATTTTGTTTTTAAGCATTGGGGAGCAACAATAGAAGCAGTGTGTCTTAAGGCAGGAACAGTCTGGAAATTCAGAGGCTGTGAATTTTATGATGGCTTTACTTTTTCCCTAATGCATGATTCTGGGCCATTTAGTTTCTCTATGCCAGTGATTCTTCATCTGAGTGAGAAGGCCAGAATCCGTATTATGGAAACTGTTTCAGTGCTGGCAACCTGTGGCCTCAGTTCATTATTCATGTCCTCATCATTTTCAGTGGTGAAGGTCATGTGTATAGCATTGTATGCTCCATGTCACTAAGAACATTTCAGATTGTTTTTCATTTCCTGAGTTCCACAACCTTTAACTTGTCTACCACATCCTCTCCCCCTCCATGTACACCATAGTTTGTGCTTTTCCAAATCTGATTCCCTTATCCCTGAATGTCTTCCTGCCATAGATCAAATTCTCTCAAAATCCTGCCACCAAGGCCCTGTCTTTCTCCCCATAGTCATCTGCTGTCCTCCCCAACCCTTCTCAAGTAAATATCATGAAACATTCCTCAGTATGGGCAGTTTACTTTGTCTCAGTGTTGGGTAGCTAGGGAGTGTAGAATAGTCTTTGATCAACGTTACTATGCTCATGGATCTGTATTCTTAATCTTTTGTCATAACAATGCCTTCATCATACAAATTCAGCCTAAAGACAAACCTACTAATCTCTTGCAACCACTGAGCAATTTTGCCTTCCTCCAAAGTTCCTGTTAAAAATTTCACAGATGCAAGTATTTAATTCAGAACTAGTAAGTGGATCTCAAACAGAATGTCAGAAAGAAGCTGAGATGGAATGAGAAAGTAGGAGGGTACTTCAAAAAGTTCATAAAAAATGAAATTAAAGAATAAATTTCTTCTGATCTTCCAGTTTCTTATAATCCACATATTATTTGATCATAATTTTCATCAGCTTTCTGAAGACTTCCTCATATGCATGGATTTAAAATTTTCTCCATAGTGCTTGCTTTGGCAGCACATATACTAAAATTTTCTCCCTCAAGGTAAATTTATCTTAATTGAATTTTCTATAAACTTTTTGAAGAACCCTTGAATACACCTTTTTGGTTCCTTTCCCCACCTTTGTCCTGACGAAGGTTGTTCTGATTCCTGAAGAACAATTTCAGAAATCTGCTTGAATTTTGGCCTTTGCTCCTTTCCAAATCAGGTTCCTTAGCTGGTTTGATAGACATCTCTGCTCATTGGATGACAGACTTGAAAGAAGGCATATGCACAGGAGGATTCTGGTTTAACCACGAACATTGTTGCTGGAACTCTGAGAATGTCACCTTTGAAGACACAGACAAATGCCCAGAATGGAATAGCTGGGCCCAGCTTATCATCAACACTGATGAGGTAACACCTGGAACCACTGCCTTTGACTCTTCATGTTAACTTTATTTCTTATCCTGTATGAAGGCGTTTGTGGAATCTTTTGCTGCTTTCCTGTTCACAAAAAAAGGGAACCGGTGCCAGCTGCTTTCTTCTGTGGTTTAAGTTCAACCCTACTTCCATCCCTTCTGACATATGGAGTGGCTTGATGCTTATATTTAGAGTTGTTTTTAAAAAGACTGGTTTTTCTTCTTAGCACATGGAATGACTGCATTTATTTTTCCATGATTACAGTCAAGATGTCAACAGGTGAACTCTAATTTTTGACAAAGGACGGAGTAGGTTAAAATGTGTTTATTGTATAGATCCCAGAAAGGATTTATTCTTGAGCAGTGTAGTTGAACCTTTTAAAGGCACACTTCATTCCACATTAAAACAGTTGAAACAGGAATTAGTCTTATCTTGAGAGTAAAGCATCATTTTCATGTGTGTCTTTTAGTACATATTTTTTTAATTTGGTAAAGTAATTTTGTTTTTCAGTTTTTTACTGTTCTGTCATCCCTTCAGTTATGTATTATATACCGCCAACTAAAAACAGAAGCCCACATAACAGCTATCAACTACCATTTCTACTCTCACTTCCACCAGTTAAAACAAGTGCCATATCAATTTGTGGTTTGTCTACTGTGCTGGTGAAGTGAGAAAGACAAGACTAAGGTATATGTTCATACTCTTAAAATGTGTCATTTCTTACCTTGGGCCACTGTTTGAGATGGAATGTACATACACAAACACACAAGCACACAATCAATCAAGAGCAAAGGACAGGAAAATCATAGAATAAAGAATGTTTATGTACATATATGACTATACATATCGGCTTATTAAAGGGGTTCAATGAAATGGATAGAAAATTATATGTGTGTGTGTATATATACATACATATATTTGAGATGGTTTGGGTTTATGATTTTAAAAAATGGGGTGTGGGTAGCATGCCAGAGGGTGGGTGAAACCACAAGATAAACATTCCATGCCTGCCCAGAGCATCATTTTTTTCTGAATATTTGAAGGACCCTTTTATTTTCGGAAATTAGATGTAAACAATTATTTTAAATGGAATGTAAAATGCCCATGCTTTTCCAGAAGACAGAGCTCTTCTTTCACTCTGCTCCCATGTACCCAACCCCTCTGCTAATGTCTCTTTACCTTCCCAGATGGGGAGAACTTAGGTGGAAAAGTTTGGAAATCCTAGAACTTAGAGTGAATTATATGTATATGTGTGTACACATACATACATGCTTCTCTCGTGTTGGGGGATTTTTTATTTTGAAGGTATTCAAGATTAAGAAACTGGCAAATATTGTATTAAGACATATCCTGCATCCCATCAGTCAGCTTCCCTCAGTGGTGGTAGCATAGCAAGCAGTACAATAGCAAGACCCTGGAAATGGACATAGGTGCAATCCACAGGCCTTAGTTTGAAACACAGTGATGTGTGTGTGTGTGTGTGAAAGAGAGAGAAAGAGAGAGAGAAAGAGAGAGAGAGAGGTACTCTTTAGTTTCATTTCATGTATAGATGGTTTAACTCCCAGAACAGTCAAACTTTAGAACTACCCTGTCACCACCAAGGTTCCCTCCTACCGCCTGCCCTTTGTAGCTGTCATCACGTGCCTGTCGATGTCCCAGCAGTTACCTTAACACTGGAGTTTGAAATTTGCTAGAGGGGACAGATTTCTCCGGTTCTCTGTTTTATGAATGAAAATCTTACCTGGACAGTCTTCCAGATTTTAAGAAGCTTTCTATTGCCAAGAACTTGGCCTCCTGGTCTTTCTGCCTCTGACCAGTTTCAGCTACTTTTCCTTTTCCTTTATTTCCCTCTTTATTTTTTCTTTCTGTAACCTTCCTCCATTGCTGCATTGGAAAGGCAAAATCATAGAGGTTACCCCTCTCTCTCTCTCTCTCTTTCTCTCTTTTTTTTTTTTCCTGAGGGACTGAAATAATGGAAAACCTGGACCGTATTTCAAACTCAGAAAGATCCAGAGCATTGCTTTGTCCTTATCTAGGTCAAGGAATTATTTTAATCATGCTTTATATTATTAAAAACCAAAATCCCATTGATTGTTTTGTATTTCATGCAATTAAGTGAATGTTAAGTCTTATTATCTTTAATAGCAAGCATAACCTCCTAAGTTCAAAATTGCTTTTTTGTAAGACATGGCTCTTTGCTAGCTCTTTAATGTTGGTGAACCCTTATTTGTGATCAAAGCTATCAAAGCTGTAATTATTTTTTAAGATTTATTTTGATTTGAAAGGATATTTACAGGGAGAAGGAGAGACAGAGAAATGTCTTCTATCTGCTGGTTTGCTTCCCAGACAACAGGAGCTGAGCTGATCTGAAGCCAGCAGAGAGGCTGATCAGAAGTGGAGCAGCTGGGACACAAACCAGTGTCCATTTGAGATGCTGATGCCACAGGGTAGAGGATTAGCCTTTTGAACCATGGGGACCAGCCCCACAAAGCTATATTTCTTAAGTGACATACTTCGTTATCACAGCACAGTAACCTTGAGAGAGTACCACCTCCATTTTAAGAATTGCTATTGTCATTTGATTCTTTGGACTATCTGACATCGTCAGAATATGAAACTTCCTATTTAGATACTTGTTGCTTAGTTTGTGATAGTGAAGTTCATGCAGAAGTGTGTTATATGACAAATAAAAAAAAATTGAATACATAGGATCAGAATATATAGCTGGATTGCTACCTGAGGAGGGAGAATTCAAGGAGAGGAGGAAGTACAAGAAAACGAAGTAGGCCAAAGCAAATTTTCAGTTAGGTAGGGTGATTAAATCTAGGGATCTAATATATAGTATGTTAAAAATTGCAGAGCCATATATTGAAAATTTGCTAAGAGTAGAGCTAAAGTATTTTTATCATTCACATGCAACGGAGGGTGACCATGAGCTCTCAGTTTGTTCCCGAGATGCCCACCTCATCGGTCAGGTTTATTTCTCTTCATTAAACCTTGGTTAACATGCTTACTTGCTTCATAAAAAAATAAAATAACTGTAGAAGGTGCTAGCTATTGGACTTTGTTTGATTGTAGTAATCATTTCACTGTGTGTGTGCCAAGGCATCATACTATATATCTTAGATACACAGAAAACAAAAGAAATCCTACTCCGGAATTTTCATCGCTGCAGCCACCCGTGAGAATTTGACACCAAGGTGGGTAGCCAGAGGTGATGGAAGGGAACATCAGAGGCAGTCTTCAAGTAGCTCAGGTTCTGTCATTTCCATAACAAAAGGGGGGTTGGAGCATGGGATGAAGGTTCTTGGTAAAATTGATGTGGAATCTTAGACACTTCACTGCAAAAACCTATCAGAACACTCACCTAGAATATAAATGTTGTTCTAGAGTTTTTACTTTGTTCTTCCTTCTTGTCTATACTTGGAATCTCTTGTAAATTTTGCTTTGGATGTAGCAAAACATGATGTTTTTGGTATCAAGGGGCCTGACGGTGTTTCATTTAGTTGCTTTGCCAATAGTGGGGAAAGAATTATCAGAATGACTAATGTTGTTGTTTTTTTTCTTTCTTTCCTTAAAAAAAAAAAGATGTATTTATCTAATTGAAATGCTGAGTTACAGGAGAGAGGGAGAGATGGATCTTCCATCTGCTACTTCATTTCTCAAATGGCTGCAACAGCTGGGACTGGGTCATACCCGAGTGAGGGACCAGGAACTTCATCCAGGTCTCCCACATGGATGGTAGAAGTCCAAGCACCTGGGCCATCCTCTGCTGCTCTCCTAGGTCATTAGCAGGGACTGAAAGTGGAGCAGTCGGGACTTGAACCAGTGCTAATGTGGGATGCCAGCATCCCAAGTCATGGCTTAACCCTCTACACCATAGCACCACTTCCTCTTTTTCTTTCTTACCTTCTCCTGAAAGACTGTTGCTCAGCAGGGCTGCTTTGCTCCACCGAGGCTACCTAGGCTAAAGCAAGTTTTCTTTCCTGCTGTTCCAGGGAGCCTTTGCCTACATAGTGAATTACTTCATGTACGTGCTGTGGGCTCTGCTCTTTGCCTTTCTGGCCGTGTCTCTGGTGAAAGTGTTCGCACCTTATGCCTGTGGCTCCGGGATCCCTGAGGTGAGTCTCTTCAAATGCCAACAGAATGGTTGCATTTCTGGTTAAGATCTTTTACCGTGGACTCTAACAGGCAGCAATATTGGGGGACTGGTAAATGGATTCAGATGCTGAGCTGGACCAAGACCTCGCTAGGTGTTCCATTAGGTCTCAGCAGTGCTACCTGAGAATGAAGGGTGGTTGATTTTCGAGCTCTCAAAGGTTCCTCTTGCACCATGTTCCTGAACATTTTCTCTGCCTTCCACCCCAAAAGCTTCCAGCCTAGATTTAAACCTGAATAATACTAGCATTGTTAGCTTTTGTTTAAAGCACAAGGAATAAAACATTTCCCCCCATTTCCTACAATGTGTATGGTTTAAGCAAGCAAGTGGGTGGTTAAAACCCATTTTTTAAGAGATTTTATTTATTTTCATTTGAAAGGTATTTTTGTAGAGAGAAACAGGTATTTTCCATCTGTTGGTTTCTCCCCAAATGGCTGCAACAGCCAGAACTGACCTAATCCAAAGGCAGGAGCCTGTATCTTCTTGCAGATCTCTCACATGGGTGCAGGAGCCCAAGGACTGGAGTCATCGTCCACTGCTTTCCCAGGCCTCAAGCAGGGAGATAGATTGGAAGTAAAACGTCCAGGATATGATCTGGTGCCCGTATGGGATGTTGGCACTACAGGCTGAGGATTAGCATACTGTGCCACTGCACCAGCACATAAAACTGATTTAAGATTTATTTATTTTTATTTGAAAGATAGTTCAAATTTGCAAAAAGAAGGAGAGACAGAAGAAATATCTTCCATCTGCTGGTTCACTCTCCAAATGGTTGCAGTGGCCGGAGCTGAGCAAATCCAAAGCTAGGAGCCAGGAGCTTCTTCTAGGTCTCCCACTCAGGTGCAGGGTCCCAAGGCTTTGGGCCGTCCTCGACTGCTTTCCCAGGCCACAAGCAGGGAGCTGGATGGGAAGTAGAGTAGGCAGAGGTCAAGCCAGCACCCAAATGGGACTTTAGACGTTGAGCTGTCTCATGGAGCCCTAAAATTGATTTCTAACATCTTTGGTTTAGATAGCTTTACCTTGACTGATACCACTGTCAATTTAGGTTATTTGGATGACCTTGCCTCCTTTTTCTCTTCTCACCGAGTTGTAGTCACAGAGGTCTTTGACAGGGTTGCAAGGTCACATCCCTAATCTTTAAAGCTGTTTCAGAAACATTAACTTTGCCTTCTCACAACACACCTTGTGGGGCATGAAGCAGAACACCTCTCTGTCCGTCCCCACCACTCTGCCCATGGCCTCGCAGCAAAGGAATACCAAGAGCTGAACAATCCTTGCTTTCTTGAACTCCTGGATTCCCTCCCAAGCTGAGAGCACTGCAAGCCAAGCATGCACATGCTCCTTGTTCAAAAGATGCAGATTCTGTAATGAGATTCCAATTTGTGTGCTTCTTAGCCTTGTGCAACTGCCTTTGTCTGTATTCCTCCTTTCTTTGTCTTGCAGATAAAAACTATTTTGAGCGGTTTTATTATCAGAGGCTACTTAGGCAAGTGGACCCTGGTTATCAAAACTATCACCTTGGTGCTGGCAGTGTCATCTGGCTTGAGCCTGGGCAAAGAGGGCCCCCTAGTGCACGTGGCTTGCTGCTGTGGGAACATCCTCTGCCACCGCTTCAACAAATACAGGAAGAATGAAGCCAAGCGAAGAGAGGTAAGGACAGATGGCCTCCAGAGTGTCTCAGGCTGACAGCCTAAGTGGTGCAGTCCCAGGAGTGGGAATTGGGGACTTCTACTGATGTGGATGCAAATACCCTAAGCTATAACCATTTCACCATTACCCTACAGCTCTCCTGACATATGTGGGCACACAAAGACTTATATATGAGAGCCAGTATGAATTTTGTCGGCACAGTGAAAGCAGCAGCAATCAAAAGGTCCACCAATAGGGGATGGAACAACTAAATAAAATTCTGCCCATACTCTAGAATACTAGGCAACCACTAAATAGGAAATAGCTCTCTGTATATTGACATGGAATTCTGCCTGCAAAACATTGTGAAGTTTAAATGATGGTTTCTGAGTAGTTGAATAAGATAACTCAGTTCCTGCTTTTTAAAAGTACATGCATATTCACTTAGATTGGAAATGTTTGGAAAGTGACTTTGCTCCAAACTGTTGAAAGCATCTACCTCTGGTGTGTGGGAGAATAAAGTAGTAGTGAAGTGGACAGAAGCCTTTGAACATTTCATTATATATAATTCTGTTCAAATGTGTATTGCTTCTATTACTAAATGGATTACAAAAATAATAAATTCTTTGTAGTTATCTGTTTATTTGGAAGGCAGAGTTATATAGAGAGGGAGAAGTAGACATAGTGAGACAGTATTTTCCATCTGCTGGTTCATTCCCCAAATGACCATAACAGCCAGGACAGGGTCAGGCAGAAGCCAGGAGCACTTACTCCATCTGAGCCTCTCATATGGGTATCAGGGTGCCTAAACTTGGGTCTTCCTCTGCTGCTTTCCCAGTCACATTAACAGGGAGCTGCATCAGAAGTGTAGCAGCCAGGACTCAAATCATTGCCAATATAAGATGCCAGCACTCCAGGCTGTGGCTTAATGTACTGCACTACAGCACCAGTCCTACCAAATAATAAATTCTTTTATTCCTATAAGGGAATAAATATATCTGCAGCATGTTTTATATGTCAGCCTGTTTTTTTTCTTTTATTTCTATCTGATGCCAAACTGGAATGCATTTCTCTCTAATAGACCTGTCTGCCTTCTGCTGACTTAATCTCACTGCACACGTCTGCGAGGATTCTCATATTTATGCAGTCAGCAATGTGTACTATTTTGAGGAGGAAGAGCACTTTTTTAAATGTTCCAAGTCATTGCTTACTTCTGTCCTGCTATAATTAAGGAACTTAGAAAATAATGACTCTTATTTTATTTTCCTCCAATTGCAAAGAAATTCCATAGGGTATGGGTCAAGATCAAGGTCATTCCCTTGAGAAAGATTTTTCTCAAAACTGGAATCTAGTCATTTCAACCGGAAACAAGAAAGATTAACCATAAGACCCCAAAGGAAACTGAAAAGATGTTGAGATTTCTGAAACAAAACACGTTTTGATAGTTTGGTGGGGCAGGGGGTGGGAAGGAGAAAGTTCGTGGCACAATCAGAATGCAGAGGAGAGTGAGGCGGGGAGAGACAGGGAAATCCAAATTGATCATTTTGCTGCCTGTCCTGTGCAGGGGGTCAGAAAGGCGTTGTCAACTTTGGGAGGCTGTTACACAGGCCTCATGAGCAACGGATGCTGAAAAGTGGTAAAATCTACATTCGTAGGCAAGAGTAAATTGTTGCTTGCTTTGGGTTTTACAAGTGTTGCAGGTGGATTTGAATCAACAGCCTGCTAGTTACTTCCAGGCCTTGTACGGGAGCAGGGAGATTGATTTAGCTGTTTCTCCACACAGGTGCTGCGTTTGGCTTAGACAAGACTCATCTGAATTTTAGGTTTACTTCCTGTTTGTTTGGACTTTCTGGTTTACATTGTCCACTTGCTCTCACCACCAGCAGTAGCCCTTTTGTGTCTAGTGGCCTGGCTAAAGTGGCAGGTGATTGAGAGTAAAACAGACATTTGAGAAGGAATGTGCAAACAGTCTCACATTCCACAATATAAAATGAAAGCCAGCTAGCCCATCTATCCCCTCTTTCCCCAAGTTGCATGTTGGTTGTCCTGTTCCTACTCAAAGGAAGCCATTTATAAATTTCTTTTTAAGTTTCTTTGAATGGCAAATTTTACAAAAAGGGATGAAGAGAGAGAAAGAAAGGAAAGACAGATGATGAGAGAAGTTGTCAATCCATTGGTTTATTCTCTAAATGACTGCAGTGGCTGGTCCTGAGCTGATCCAAGGCCAGGAGCCAGGAGCCTCTTTCTGGTCTCTCATGTGGATGCAGGGATCCAAGAACTTGAGCCATCCTTTTTTGCTTTCCCAGGCCATAAACAAGGAACTGGATGGGAAGTGCAACAGCCAGGACACAAACTGGCACCAATATGGAATGCTTATGCCTCAGTCAGAGGACTAGCATGCTATGCCAGCATGCCGGCCCTCAGGAAAGCCATTTTATCTCTGAATTGCAGAGTCCACACAGCCAGCACAGGGGACAAGGGCTCTTCCTCTGTTCCAGTTTCCTGGACCACCCTCCACTCCAGGAGGCACCTGCCTATATATTCTCCCAGGCACCATTTTTATTCTTCCAAGCTCTTAATTTTGTTTAAAAAAAGAATAGAGAGCAGGCATTTGGTATAGCAGTTAAGGCACCTCTTGGGATGCTTGCAACCCATATCTGAGTGCTTGGGCTTACATCCCAGCTCCACTTCCATTTCCAGCTTCTTGGCTGTGTATTCCCTAGGAGGCAGCTGGTGATGACTCAAATTGTTGTGCCCGTGTTATTCAGTTCCCAGCTCCTGGACATTTGGAGAGTGAACCAGTTGCTGGGGGGTATCTAAATCTGGTTGTCTCTCTGCTTCTCAAATAGAATACTCAAAATTAAAAAAAAAACTTGATCAGTGTGTTATATAGAATGTATTTTTATCAATCTGTTCTACATGTATTACTTCTTTTTAAAGATTTAATTATTTTTATTTGAAAGGCAGAGTTACAGAGAAAGAGATAGGGACAGAAAGATCTTCCATCCACTGGTTAACTCCATAGATGGGTATAATGGCTGGGGCTGGACCAACCCAAAGCCAAGAGTCTGGAACTCCATCCAGGTCTCCAACTTGGGCACAGGGATCTAACTGTTCAGGCCATCTTCTGCTGCCTTCCCAGACACATTAGCAGGGAGCTGGATCTGAAATGGAGCAACTGGAGTTGAACCAGTGTCCATATTAGATGCTGGTATTGCAGGTGGCTGCTTAACCCACAACACTGGCTGTTAATCAGTTTTGTTTTGTTTTGTTTTGTTTTTTTGTTTGTTTTAGTTTTGAACATCTTAATTCAGTTGACTAAAGCATTCTATTTGCTAGACATAGGAAATAAAATGTTTGGCTTCTTAAGAAAATAGAAAGCATTTCTTTACAAAGTGCTATGTGAGTGGATCACTGTACATAGTTCATTTAGGTGGTGAGTAGATAGATCTGCAAACTCAAATCCAGTTACTGAAATGGTACTATGGGGAATTTGGGAGGCATAGTTTAGCAAAAAGCACTTCCCTAAATTACAACGGAAAGGCCCCCCGCCCCCTTACATGTTCAAGTTCCCTTGTGTGTGAGTTCAAAATTTTGGAGAAAATTGTTTGCTCTTGAATCAAAATCAAGCTTCATTTTTGATGATATGAAGCATGTAAAGATTTTTAACAATGTGTAGGAACCCCTAAGATTCCTTCTGAGAATGTGATTGAGTGTAGAAACGTGGCAGTGCTGTTACTAATTTTGAATCTTATATTGTAGGTCTTGTCAGCTGCAGCAGCTGCTGGTGTTTCTGTAGCTTTTGGGGCACCTATTGGCGGCGTATTATTCAGCCTGGAAGAGGTAACAGTGTCTACCTGTGTGGAAAGCATACATGTGCTTTTTGTCAGGAATCTGACCGAGTGTTGTGAATGTTCCTGAATGTTCTGCCCAGCTCTGTGCCTTCCCATGTCTCCTGGCAGATGTGATCGTATCCTCTATCACCTGCAGCATGGGCTTCCCAAACGGTGTCTATGTATTGACCAAGCCTGCTCTCCGCCCTTCTCTTTTACAGGTCAGCTATTATTTCCCCCTCAAAACATTATGGCGTTCATTCTTTGCTGCATTGGTGGCAGCATTTACTCTGCGATCCATCAATCCATTCGGGAACAGCCGCCTAGTTCTCTTTTATGTGGAGTTTCACACCCCATGGCATCTCTTTGAGCTTGTACCGTTCATTCTGCTGGGCATTTTTGGTGGCCTCTGGGGGGCTCTGTTTATCCGCACAAACATTGCCTGGTGTCGGAAGCGGAAGACCACCCAGCTGGGCAAGTATCCTGTTATTGAGGTCCTCGTCGTGACAGCCATCACTGCCATCCTGGCCTTCCCCAATGAATACACCCGAATGAGCACCAGTGAGCTCATTTCGGAGCTGTTCAATGACTGTGGCCTTCTGGACTCCTCCAAGCTCTGTGATTATGAGAACCACTTCAACACCAGCAAGGGAGGCGAACTGCCCGACAGACCTGCCGGTGTGGGAGTTTACAGTGCAATGTGGCAACTGGCTTTGGCACTCATACTGAAAATTGTCATTACCATATTTACCTTTGGGATGAAGGTGAGCAATTCTTTTGGTCCTTGGTGGCTGTTGTATGTGAGAGATTGTGGGTTTTAGAGGGCACAGCCAGTGTATCGCACAATCTGAAGCTTGTGTGCTGTTTTCACTCCCCCAGTGTTATTCCTTCACCCCTCCAGCCTCTTTCACACTCACCTGTTTTCATAACTCCCTAGTTAAGGCTCCATAATTGAGAGTCCATGAAAAAATTTCAATTATGATATTTGGTAAAAGTGGCATAGTTTGCCTCTCCAAAAAGGATGATGAGGCATTCCATTCAGTATGACTTTTTTTGTTGTTAAAATCTGGCCAACAGTTTTAGCAGGGCGGTTTTAGAATTTACTTATAAAATACGATGTTAGGCTGAACCATACAAAGTTGCCAATAGTCACCCATTTTGACCACTGAAATAGCAGTTTTATGGGATTCAACCCAATATGAAGCTAAGTGTATTTTTTACAGTTAGTATTAATGCTAAACCAAAGGAATGCATTCCATAGATGATCTGAAGTTCATTGTCAAATTATCAAAAGTGGGTAGCATGTTCTAACTCATATGGAAGTGAAAAGAGTTGATCTCCTGGAAGTAGAGGGTAGAAAATGAGCAGTGGTAACCAGAGCCTGAGAAAGGGAGAAACAGAGAGAGGAAGGATGGAGTTGGTTAAGTGGTACCAAAGCACACTCTGAGAGGAGAACCATCTACCATCTAGTGTTTGTTCTGCAGTACAGGATGTTGACTGACTGCAGTTCAAACTAACGTACTGTGTATCTTGAAACAGCTAAATGACGGGATTTTGAAAGGTCCACAACCCAAAAAAATGATAAATGTTTAAGGGGATGGATATACTAATCATTCTGATTTGATCATCACAGCATGTGCATATGTCAGTATAACACACAATGGATCTATAGTTATTGTATATTAATTTTTTTAAAAAAGGCAGACATTAGACATGTTTTAAGTACTTGTTACATTTTCACATTTCAGAAGAAAGCAGAAAGGGAAATTTGTTAAGGTGTTTTCCTCTTCCTCCTAAGTTTTTCTCAGTTTCTGTTCTTTCGCTCCCCAGTTGTTTCCCTCTATGCTTGAGAGAACTAAAAATGCAAAACAGAAAAGAAGAGGCAGCAATTCAGTTTGTGCAGTGCTGAAATCTCTGAGACAATGGCATTCATCCCCTCTTCACAAGGATAGGGTGGAGATGACCAAATGTCTTGCACTGCTTCTTGGGCTCATTTGTACTTCCTGGTTTCAATCTTCCACTGAAAGGCAATTTGGAGACCAATGAAGTATCAGGTTCAAGTGCACATCTAGTGGGTTGACAGATGAAGGTTCCTTATTCAATTAATCATACTATCAGAGACACCATCTCATTTAAATTGTATTAGTTTAATCTTTTGCTATACCATCAAAAAACAAACTGAAGCCTCATGCGTCGCTCTTTTTGTATGAGTATGGATATGCCGTTGAAATCCTGAAACCAGAATTCACTAAATCTTGACCTTGGGGTGAGTTGCTCAGCCTCCGTGAACTTTGGATTCCTTGTCACTTGGGTATAATATTACCTACCCCATGGGATTGTCTTAGAGATCCAGCAAAGCCTTGGAGATAGGGGATCCAGCACCAAACATGGTAGTAAGTAAAGGATAATTGTTAATTAAAATTCAGAGTTGAGGGAAAATGTCTGCCTATATGAGAAACTCCATCTATTTTCCATTTTCTTTGGGAAAGGCCTAATTTCTGCCTCCAGTTCTGTTGGACTGGAGAGTTCAGGTTCTTGGCTGATGGAGCCCAGATCAGGATAAGATCCTTTGCAGTCATCTTTGCCTGCATGTCCCAGAGAACCTCTTGTTCCTGCAGTGTTACATACATATTTACAGCCACTTGATAGTATAGTATGTAAATTGTCATTAGCTGTTTGCTTTACCAGGGTTTCAGTCCTCCAGCCCTTACCATGCCCTGAACAATCACATCATTTCTCACTGATCACATCTCTTTGCAGATCCCCTCTGGCCTCTTTATCCCTAGCATGGCTGTTGGTGCTATAGCAGGGCGACTTTTAGGAGTGGGAATGGAACAGCTGGCTTATTACCACCATGACTGGACCATCTTCAACAGCTGGTGTAGTCAGGGAGCTGATTGTATCACCCCTGGCCTCTATGCCATGGTTGGAGCTGCAGCCTGCTTAGGTAAGGAGCATTTGCATGGATTTCCAAGAACCAACTTCGCAGGTAACATAAAAAAGAAGAGATGTAGTCAAGACAACTGACTGCAAAATATGTTGACATGACTATCAATTTTCCCTTGTTTCTTATTCTTCAAATACTTTAAGAAAGCAAATTCTCTCACATTGCATAAATAATCAAGAAACATGGATGAAGATAAGTTCCCAGTGTATATGTCACAATGTTATTTATAGGAGCAAAACAAAAATTAGAATTCATCTTAAATTTACATAATAAGGGACTGGCTAAATAAATTACAGTACCTCTGTGTGATGTTAGATTATGTAGCCTTTAACTATGATATTGATACGGTTAATATCTTCAAGTATGAGTTAAATACAGTTGTAGTGACATGCAGTCTTCTCAATGCCTGATGCGTAAGCACAGTGGTGAGTTAGACATGATAATATAAGCTTGCCTATGTTAAACATTCTTGCATAGATAAAACTTGAAAATGTCATTCAAAATTTGGACTCTGCTTTTATTATTTATTATTATGGGTAATGGATTTCTTTTATATTTTCTGTGTATTCTACAAAGAACAAGTATTACTTTTACAGTCAGGGAAAAGAGGCAATGGGCAAACAAAAACAAATCAAGAAGGCATCTTATATTCCTGTAGATGCCATTTTGAGAAATCTGAATCTCCCGTAACTGTAGTGCAATTCCTGGGGGGTCTGTGTAGCTATGGGTGAGACCTCCTTCGGGCTTGTTTCTGGTCTTCCCTGGATGGGACCTCTGACAGGCCTCTCCTTTTAATGAGCCCCTGTGCCTTGCTTGCCCTTTGGTAGCCTGTGTCTATTGTTTTGCAGGTGGGGTGACTCGGATGACTGTTTCTCTCGTTGTCATAATGTTTGAACTCACCGGTGGCTTGGAATACATCGTACCTCTGATGGCTGCAGCCATGACAAGCAAGTGGGTGGCAGATGCTCTTGGCCGGGAGGGCATCTATGATGCCCACATCCGTCTCAATGGATACCCCTTTCTTGAAGCCAAAGAAGAGTTTGCTCATAAGACCCTGGCAATGGATGTGATGAAGCCCCGGAGAAATGATCCTTTGTTGACTGTCCTTACTCAGGACAGTCTGACTGTGGAAGATGTTGAGACCATAATCAGTGAAACCACTTACAGTGGCTTCCCAGTGGTGGTGTCCCGGGAATCGCAAAGACTTGTGGGATTTGTCCTTCGAAGAGATCTAATCATTTCGATTGGTAAGGATTTCAGGAAGGGCACAGTGGAATTGCATTCTGCAATTCAGTGAATGTGTGTGAGACAGGGGAAAACAGATGGAAGAGGGGACTGGTGAGAGGCCAGAAGACAGAACTGATGCTTCCATTTTCAACTTTATTTTTCCCTCTTTTGTTCAAATAGAAAATGCTCGAAAGAAGCAGGATGGGGTTGTGAGCACCTCCATCATTTATTTCACCGAGCATTCTCCTCCAATGCCACCGTACACTCCGCCCACCCTAAAGCTGCGCAACATTCTGGATCTCAGCCCCTTCACCGTAACTGACCTCACACCCATGGAGATTGTAGTGGATATATTCCGCAAGCTGGGACTGCGACAGTGCCTGGTCACACACAACGGGTAAGAACTCTCAGGAAAAGACGAGTTGTGAAAGGAAAGAGAATATAGAAGCAGAAAGGAGGACAGACAGTCAAAAATGAAGGTTAATAACATGTTTGAAGCTCCAAAATGAAGATGAGTATGTTGCTTTTATAATCATAATTGTTGGAAGAGGAGTTAGGGAAGGAAGAATGTTTGAGAGACATGAACTGCTGGTTGCGCATGTGAGTAACTCACTTCTACCCTTATGAAGAAAGCAACTGGCTTCATGTGCACCAAGATAGTGCCAAAATTTTAGTAGTATCCATATGTTTGTGATGTATGTAATGGTTTGAAAAACTCAAGGAAAAATGAAATCTAAAATATTTATCTGGATATAAAATTAATTTGAAATCCATGTGTAGGCTTTCCGTAATATGCACTTTCCCATGTTTCTTAAAAAAATTGTACATCAAAACCCTTTCACACCAAAATAATCTCATACTTTAAACTCATTTTCCACCAACATTTTGATGTTCTGTAGTATCTGGGCCTTGTTTTTCTGTGAGGGTGAGGAAGCTATGTTTTTAGTGCAGTCTAATGACTTTTACAAAGGTCCTCAACTATTGCATCGGAGAGGTTAACTTTCAACATGTGTACCTAGCTCAAGGCACTTTGCTTCCTGGGCTATTACCCAGGAAAGGAAGTCCTGCAGTTTTGATTTAAAAACATAAGATGTTGAGGAGGGGAGGTGAATCTCTTTTTCCAAACATGGTATGTTAATCCAGCAATTATGTGAGGATTTCACCCTCTTCTAAATTCTGTAAGAAATACAACAGATGTCTTCCAGGATTTAAACCAGCAAAGGCAGTGATCTTAACTGCTTCACTCAAGATTGAGTGAATACATACTCTACGTAAGACAATATTCCACTAGATTCCTGGGGAACACAAAACTAAGACCCTTCTCTGCCCTCAAGGAGTATGCAGTGTTAGAGGGAATGAAGGGCACATGGGTGGGCATGGCGTAATAGCAAAGAGGGTAAGAGCTAAAGCAGAGGTCCACATGAAGTACTACATTGCTGGAAGGAGGACAGAGTTTACTGCTGCCTGGTAGGGCCAAGGGAAGGGGTTTTGGAAGAGAGCAATTGGCAGTAGTAGGTAGATAAATAATGTTAATATCTGTAGAAAAGAATATTTAAACCCAACCAAATGACAGGCCCTGAAACCTAGAAGTAGAAATGCTTGTAAGTTTAGGGAACAAGGCATTGTCCCATTTCCCTGGGACATTGTCCTAGTTCCCTTAATTCCTGTTATCTCCTTGTTCACATAATATTCAAAGAAAATGTTTTAAAGGATTGATGAAGACAAATGTCACTTTTGGGAAGGCCATTTGAAGGAGAAATTCATCTTTATCCTGTTGTGTTTTGTTTGTCTTTCAGGCGTTTGCTTGGAATCATTACCAAAAAGGATGTGTTAAAGCATATAGCACAGATGGCAAACCAAGATCCTGATTCTATTCTCTTCAACTAGAATCGTAGGGTTATTCTGGATCCAAAACAGGAAGGACATTGCAGACCATGGATATATTTTATTAACTGGGTACCCAAAACACATTTCTCATATTTGGATGGTGAGGTCATATTAGTGTGTTGTCTCTTTCCTACAAGTTAACCAGTTGCACTACATAATCTCTGGAAAGTAATCTCTTTAGGAGAGAATACAGTTAGGCTTCTATGATAATGAATTTGGAAGATTTCATGGAAGAGTAAACAAGATCGCTATGATTTAATTGTTTGTTTTTAAGATTTTTTTTTTAATTTGAAAAAATCGTTAGCCAATATGCAATCAATGAAAACTATGCAAGAAAAATTCCCAAACCGGCTTGACCTGTAGCCTACAGGAAATCATTTAAAAAAGTCATTTTGGGGGGATCTAATTGTCATTTGTGGAAGATGAAGTGTAAACTTAAGGAGCTTTGCTTTTCAAACCATGGAAAGGAAAGCCAGAAGGAAAATAGTAATGGTATTTTCTAGACTGTGAAGATTCAGTTCAAATATTATCCTTGTTCCTGTTACAATACTTAGCCTCGTTAGTTTGTTATGTGTGTACTTGTATGTTCATTTTAATTTCTGGTTATAAGACAATGCTGCTTTGGTTAGTCTCCTCTAAGTGAATTTGGAGAGATTGACTTTTATAGCTTGCTTGTTCCTGGTACTCTTTTGAAGTGCACAAAAATAAGTTATACATCTTTCTCCTTGTCTGCGAAAAGGGTAGTTTTCCAGATGGTATCTGTTAGCTAGTAAGCAAGGACTTTGCCATGAATTTGTGAGCAGCAAGGAAATGATTTCTTCCAGCCTTGAAATGAATGATCAGTAAAGTTCTCAGCAAAGTCCGTGACTGGGAATTTCACATTTTTTTGTGAGGTCCTAACAAATCCTCTTACCCAGATGCCTCCTCCACGAATGATGGTGCTTTCGGCTTCTGGAATACGGAAGACCAGTCAAGGGAACCACGTCAAGATTGCATCCTGGTAACCCGGGGAAGATTCAGAGCTGCACCTGCATCCTCACGCATCCCTTTGTACAGAGACCACCAGGGCTAAAATAACTGGGCACCCATGGCTCCTCCCAGTGTTCCGTACGTGTGACAGGCCGGTGTCATCCCTGTGAGTGTGAATCAGGCTTGAGATTCTCTCCGGATATATCCAAGGTGTTGGGACAAGATAGGCAGCAGTGACTTCCTTGAGGGTCCTTAGCATTCCAAATAAAATCCAGAATCATCTTCAGACCTAGGGGTATGGACAAGGCCTCGTGACACCAAAGGTGCTTGTAACCAATTGAAAAGGTGCCAGTCTCAATTTCTTACCACGTTTATTGCAGTGAAGCAAAAAGTCATCATGCCATAGGGACAGCTAGTGGTCTTAAAGAGCCACCCCCCACCCCCACCATTCCAACCACTATTCCGTTGTCTGTAGTTTTAGCCATGTTCTCCAGCTGCAACCCTTCTCTTCTGTTGCCCTTCCTACTCTTCAGTACTGAATCCTCTCTTTGGGATTGAGCACTGCAACTGGTTAATCATTCCTAATACATATGTAGAAAAAAATAGTAACTTCCAAGGCTAGTGAAATTGCAAACTATGGCTCAGCAATCTTGCGGCACATGGAGCAGAGGTGACCTATAGCCCTTTGCTTTGCCATGTGACCCAGTTGCTGCTGCCATGCCTCCAGTTCCATATCAGATGCCTGTGACAGTGAGACACCACTGCCCGGGGTGAGAGTTCAGCCTTGCTCATTTTACAATTCTGGTACCAGCACTTGCCGCTCTCCTTCCAGCCTGGTATCAGCAGTCAGCTGGCATAACCCTCCCCCACCAAACACCTCAGCAGCATACCTCATTGTGAAAGTTACTCACCCCTGATTCATGAACTTCTTACCCCTAGTTCTTAGCTTTGTAAAATCTTTTATTGCCCAGAACTGGGAAGCCAAGGCTTATTTTCATTGTTATCCTTAAAAATAGCAGTCACCAGAGTGTCTCCTCCTCAGTATATCACTGTAGTATTTTAATGAAAAAGGAAAAAAAAAAAAAAGAAAGAAGCAAGACCCAAGGTACATGCTATTCTAAGTCATGGCTTGATCACCTCACCTCTATTGTCCCTACAATGCTACCAACTCCTGCCTATGAGTTGAGACTCTATGCTTGGCTACCCTGTATTCTATGTAGAAATCAAAGTTCTTATCTGTATATTTCTGGTTTAATGCCTATCTTATTAGCCATCCTTTTGCACTGAAGATTGCAAAACAGGAAATGTTACTGTGTCTGGTGTTTGGTGGCAGTGGAAGGTTGGGTTGCATTAGTCACTTAGAGGGTGTGCTGTTTGCCTTTGTGTTGCTTCTCGCTCTGTTCCTGATGTCAGACAGATGAGCCAGTGTTAAGGTGCTACTTCAGAGAATCAAATTGAGAAATCAGATAACACTGTGCCAAGGTAAACATTCTAGATGCTAAGCACCGGTTGGCCCTCCAGAGAAAGACAATATTCCTTTGATACCTCATTCTTGATAAATTTCACCCATTAACCTCAGCTTCTCAGGTACCCTTGTAGCTCATGTGCTAGATTATACGCTACAAGTAGCCGTAATCTGTGGTGGCCGTTGTATGTCCAATCCTAAATTTAGCTCAAAGGTTGGCTAGTTGTGACTCAAGTTCTCTCCTAGACTGCTAGCTCAGCACTTTGACTTCTGAGTTAAAGGCAAATGTGTTTTCTGCCATTAGCACTTCAAAAGTTGGACATACTTAACCAACCAACAATGCACCATCTGGGGAGGTCTGTCAGTAGCCTCAAACAGCCACACAGCTCAATGCAAAAGACTAGATAAGTTGTGATTTAAAAGTGAATGGATGGAGATTGATCTATTTGGATGGAAAGAAAGAAAAGAGAAAAAAGGAAGGAAAGAAAGAAGGAAGGAAGGAAGGAAGGAAGGAAAGAAAGAAAATGGCGTAGCACAGGAAATGGTTTACAAAAGAGAACCAATAAACTCTGAAGCAGAGTTAGGATTTTTCCAGGGGAAAATATCTGGTAGATATCCAGCCATGAAAGGAGTGAGAGTCAAAGACTTTATCAAAGTCCAAGTGCTCTTTGGGGATATCTTTAGACCTTCATTGAAACAATGTAAAAAAACTAAGCAGCTAATCAGACTCATACTGACGGGAAGAAGCAGGTGGCTGACAATAGAAGACAGTGGCTACTTTATATTATATCATTTCTGTTTGCTTAGAAACCTGTACTGATCGTTTTCTTTCTCTGGCCCTAGCATTACTGCTCAGCCCAGTTATTGCAGTAGAGGTGGCGTGAGCCACAAAACAGACACTCTCTGGTGCATAATCTGACCTTGACAAGGTTTTACATTTGCCAGCTGACAGAGCAACTGATTAATTTGCTAATTAAACTGCAAAACAGTTCAATTGTTTTGGCACTGCAAGCCGAATTGAAACCCTTTACCGGAAGATCAGGGCACAGTATACGTTTCCTCTAGCAGGTCTTTAACTCTGTTTGAACACAAGAATGATAAAGTAACAAAGACTTATTGTGGGCTAAGGCTGCAAAGTATTTCACAATCAAGTGTTGGGGTGAGCAAATATGTTGTGAAAAATTTAATGCACAAGACAGCCCATTCTGGAAAGTGACCATTGCTGTATATGTTAAGCAGTTCCCCCACTGTTGCAGTTGAATTTTGATTTTGGCGGGCGATGTTAGAAGTAGGAAGGTATGCTTGCTACCTTACACTATCCACTGATTTTGTTTTTAAATAAATCATGAGCAGTGCAATTCTTGAAGTTGAGTTCTTTAATGAAGATAGTGAAGGCAACATAGATATTACATGAATGCAGGCCACCCACTTCTTCAGAGAATGTAGGACAACATCTTTTCCAGTTGTGCATAAGGGTATTAAACATTTAAAAACCCTGAAGGAAATAAAGTATTTGGAAAATAAACAGAATATTAGGGACCCCCCCTTTAAAAAATGATGTTTGAATATGTAGGCTGAAGTTAACTATTCTAAAGTTTTCTTTTAAAAAACTATCACTGTGATGGTCTTGATTTCATTTGGGAAGGGAATAGAAAACCCTGTTAAGAGACTACATGAGTGCTGTATAATGGTGAGTGGAAAACCCGCTCATGCCCTACCCTTCATGTTGGCATTTCAAAATTGCTTGATCATGTGCCTCAAGGAAAAAACAAATTCAAGTAACCCCTAAAGGCCAGGCTTCATGAGCCATGTAGACACCCAAGACAAATGTGCTGCTCAAAGGCAATCCAGCTTTATGGAGAGGGATGACCCAAAACATTTGCTCAGAAAGAAATATGGGGTCTTTTCCCATTGCCTAAATAAATGACTTGCTTTAGATAGATCATCTGGCAATCTCATTTAAGCCTCACTTAATATGCCCTTATTAAATATTAAAAACAAAAGGTGAGCGTTCCTCAGCTTGGACCTCAGGGGTGCAAAGCTCAAGGGCAGCCAGGGAGGTGGACCTGTGCTGGTAGCCTAACTTGGCTCTGCTTCAAGTTCAGTTGTTTGCTCCAAAGAAAAGAATTCTGGAATAGTATGCAGGTTAGCCACGTTGAATTACTCCCCAACATGAGTTGGCCACATTCTCATGTCTCAAGCCCTGGCTCTGGACAGAATGATTGAAGGAATGCTGGGGACCTACAATTGATTTTTCCTGTAGTGTGGTCTGATTTTTGCCAAGTTCTTTAACAAAGAAGGACAGAATGTGTTCATTAGACGGGACCTATCCAGTCAGCCAGCCTGATATTGCTGTCATATTTCTACCTCGACGTTCCTGCCAAAGGGGTTTCCAGCCTCAGTGTGTGCCCCCACTGAATGAATGAATGCCTTGTCTATAGTTTCGCCTTCTGAGGAGCAGCAGCAACATGTGATGCTATACAAAATACGAGGATTAAAAAATAATCTAGCATTCCTGTCCTTCTTTCTCCCTCTTCCTCTACCTCACTTCCTCTTTGGCTCCCCTCATCATGTCCTGGATTCGAATTCCTCTTAGCTTTGACAAGCCTCTGGTAGTGAATCTGGACCTTGGGGAGAATCTTTTCCAGAACCCAGAAGAAAAGAGACTCCTTCTCAGTCTATGGGACCAATGGCACTCGGCTCCCCTGTAGTGACTAAATGCAGCAACATGTTTCAGATTTGAGCATCCCAGGGAGGACATGCAAAGTGCAAATTGCTGCACCTTATTGTTACCTGGCTAGTCCAGGTTTGTCAGGATGCAGGGCAGCCTGTGATTTGGTGATGGAAATGCAGTCTAGCACAGTATGGGGAGAAGGTGTGCCTGAGGTGATTTGACAGACTGGGACTGCTCAGCTCCACTCTCATATGGAATCCTTCTAGAGTGCTCCTTCTTCCTCTCCATTTCATATTGCCCCTTTTCCTCCATGTCCTGCCTTTTTAAGTATTTAGCTTTTTACGTAAGTATTTACTTTTTTTTTTGTACTTATATATTGCATCCTGTGGGACTGTATAATGCTTAAGAATTTATTCCACTCACGATAAACATGATGTGTTTAATAGTTTGTTCTCTTAACCTGTCTTTTGAAGCTACGCTGCTGACCAGGTACAGGCCAGAAAGGAGATGGGCCTAAACAGCATCTTGGTCACATCACCTAAAGGTGATAATGATGTTCTGATGGTGACTGTTCTTCGTTTGATCAAGGCCAATCTCCTGCTCTTACCTCTGCCCATTCATTTCTGGCTACAGGACAGATACCAGCCACTGGGTGAGCCATTGAGACCAGGAGAATTCTGACAGCCAGGCTCCAGCCCCATGGGCCACTGTGGGGATATCTCTGTGATAAACTCATTTGTAGGGCTGGCTCCAATTGCAGTAGCCAAAGAAAACATGTCTGACTTGACTCTTAAATCCCTTAGAGTTGGTCACAGTTGAGCTAAAGCTCGTGTCAGACATCAGTACTATAGCTAGGCCTCCAGAAACTAGCGTCAACCAAAGCTAACGGGGCCCACGTTTCTGCGGGAAGCTTGGTGCTGAGCTCTTCACAGCCGTGACTGAGCTGAGGCTTGGCAACCCTGCAGCCATGCTTTCTTAGCTTTATTTTTCCCAGTTCGCGGGCACAGCCTGAACCAAAGCCGTGGCTCCCTGCTCACTTCATTCTGCTCCCTGGGCACGTGCAGCAACCTAGTCTCAAAAGGAAGCCATGGACTGAAGAGTGGACAGACCTGGTTTCTCTTCCCTGTGCTTCTACTAACTAGCCTCGAGATCTTCACCGCTCTGTGCCTCAGTGTTCCCATCCGCACAATGGGGATAGTGTTAATTGCCCTACCTACCTCACAGGGTTGTTGTGAGGATCAGCTGAGACCATGAATGGAAAGTACTTTAACAAGTGCTATGCAAATTGCTTAAAATGGAAACAATCGTGTTCAAGGCAATGGGATGGATATTGATAGAAAGGTTTAATGGGTTCATCCAGCCCTTTCTCTGTGTGGCTTAAACCCAGTTTGCCATTGCTTTATACATTTTCACTTAGCACAGATTTGTAATTATGCATGTATTAAAGCACAGCCTTATCCTAAAGCCTGCTGTGTCTCGTGTGTATTTTTGAAGACCCTGAACTATGTGACTATTAATTTCTGATCAAAAAAGCCTGTGGGTGGGGGCAGGGCGTGGAGCTTGGGAGAGGGGAATTGAAAGGTTGCCTCTGACCCCCCTCCTGATGGATTCACTTCTTCAAGAGACTGATTAAATGCTTACTGAGTTTTACATTTGCAGACTCTGTAATACTTTTTGCCATAAGGAGGCAAATGAGAGACAGCTTGCATTTTCTGAGACATTCCAGATTCCCAGATGCCTCATTCATCATGGCTGCTTAAATGTTTCTGTCTCATCCATTGTTGGTGAACTTTACAGATGACATGAGAAATAGCCAGGGGGAGCGGGAGGTGTACTTTTGCTCTCTTTTTGAGCTTTTAAATGATGTAAGATTGTGGGTTTTTACCAGGCTCTGACCTGCAGTCATTTCATGCAAGGGGTTAGGATGGGTGATAAAACGTCCCTGCAATGAGTGCTAGGGTTCGCCACTCCCTCTTAACGGGGCCATGGGTCTGAAGTGGCTTCTCTAAGAAATCCTCCGAGGTACCTGTGGGTTCCAGTTGGCCGGGGCATTGGGAGATGGTTGCATATATAAACAGTTCCTTTTTACACCTCTCGAGAACTCAGGAAAGCTGTACTTTGAAGTTTGGCTTTTTTTAAAATCCCATTTTCCTGTATCTGACTCCCTCCACCCCCGTCTTAGGTGAACATTACTGTTCAGGCAATTGGGCATGTGTCCAAGTTTTCGTGTCCCAGCTGCTCCACTTCCCTTCCAGCTCCCTGCTTGTGGCCTTGGAAAGCAGCAGAGGATGGCCCAAAGCCTTGGGACCCTGTGTCCGCATGGGACACCTGGAAGAAACTGCTGGCTTTGGATCAGCTCAGTTCTGACAGTTGTAGTCATTTGAGGAGTGAACCAGCAGATGGAAAATATCTGTCTTTCTCTTTGTAAATTTACCTTTCCAATGAAAATAAATAAATCTTATTTAAAAGAGTATCTTTTTACTCGAGGAAACCGTGATGTCTTTGACCTACTTGGTGTCATTGAAGGAAAGACGCCTCTTTGTATAAATAATCCCCTCCTAAACCAAAAATGCCAGGTCCTGATATTTATCCTTTCATTTGGCCCTTTGCACGCTACGACTGTTCCTACCTCAAATCTAAATATGTTTTGAAAACAAGATGTATCTGTTACAAATTATCAATAGCTCAGGATCACCTAGTCTGCCATGTCTAGATGATGTAGTAGAGCTCAGAGGAACATTGCTTTGGCGGCGTGTGACTTAAGGACAGATCCATCATCTCTGTGCAGAAGCTGCCCAGAGAACCACCTGTAAATGACCACCAGATGTCAGTACAACCATTAAAATACCCATGCGGCTAAGGTTTGGCTAGAGGGCAATGTGAGGATAGCAAGATGCTAGGAACCGCAGCGGTTTATCACATGTCTTACCTATCAGAGACTCCTGCTTTTAATCTACATAACCAATTGTGTGCTTTTCTGGTTAGCAATTCTGTGCTTTCTCTTGTCTCTGCCCTATGTTGAAGTATGACAGTTGCAGTTTATTTTTTTTACGAAGTTTACTTATTTTTGTTTGAAAGGCAGATTTACGATGAGGGGACAGAGGAAGAGCTTCCATCTGCTGGTTCACTCCCTCAGATGGCCCCAGGAGCCTCTTTTGGGTCTCCCACGTGGGTCTAGGATCCCAAGGTTTTGGGCTGACTTCCACTGATTTCCCAGGCCATAAGCAGGGAGCCGCATGGGAAGTGGAGCTGCTGGGACACAAACTGGCGCCCATGTGGGATGCTGGTGCTTGCAGGTGGAGGATTACCTTATTGATCCCCTGCAGTTTCTTTTTCAAAGTGATGAACCAGGTAAAAGCAAGTAGTTGGGAGAAGGGGGATGAAGGACTCCAGTGTCTCTAGATAGGGAACGGTATCATTTCTTGTATGTATGTCTAGGACACTTTGGACAATGGGAGGGTGCTGTGAATCATTACCCAAGGGGAATGTGGGTAATTGGCACTATTGCAGGCAAAGCAAGTGACAACTCCTCAAGGGCTCTACAGTTCCTGTTCTGCAGACTCCAGGTGCAGGTCTCCCAAGCCCCCTTCACTGTGGCCTGCCCTTCTCCTCACCTCTCCAGGCTCCTCCCCCAGACTCAGAGTGCTGCTAGTAGTAAGCACTCCCAGAAGCTCCTGGGATGTGCGAGAAAGACAAATGTTCCGACAACTGCAGGCCAACTCTTCTTTTCAGAAACCACAGTAGGCCTCTGAGCAGAGAGCAACATTTTGGATAGAGAAAGCCACTTTGTCTTCCCTTTGGCCTTCCATGCCTATACATTGCCCACTACTGGTGTTTCTGCATAGGCTGTTTTAGGACCTTCGGGAGACTGCCGATAGAACAGAAGCCAGATGAGATGGAACCTTCATGTGGGGTGGAGCCACGAGATGTGGACCCAACACATACTGTAGAGGAATTTCTACACTTAAAAAAAAAAAGATTTGTTTTTATTGGAAAGGCAGATTTATAGAGAGGAGAGACAGAAATCTTCTGTCTGCTGGTTCACTCCCCCAAATGGCCACAATGGCCAGAGCTAAGTTAATCCAAAGCCAGGAGTCAGGAGCTTCCTCCTGGTCTCCCACATGGGTGCAGGGTCCCAAGGCCTTTGGCTGTCCTCTGCTGCTTTCCCGGGCAGGGCACTAAATGGGAAGTGGAGCAGCTGGGATATGAACTGGTGCGCACTCTTATGGGATCCTAGCACTTTGAAGGGGAGGATTAGCCAATTGAGTCACCGCACTAGGCCCTTTACACGTTTTTTATTGAACAAAACTCAAGATCTCCAAGGTTGGCCTGGGAGGAAGTATTTCCCCTTGAAAAGAAGCTTCTGGACCTCTCAGTATGGCTTTGCATTTCCCAAGATTCCCCTGACCTCAGTGGCCGCTTTCCTGGTTATTTCACTGGCCAAGGAGCTGGCAGACACCACTCCATTTTTAATATTCTGGCCCAGCTGAAATCATTGCATCTATGAGCTTGGAGAAATCCATGAGCAGGGCAGAGAAATCATCCGGCCCTGGCTCACAAACCTGCCTGTGTTTTGTGAGGATGTGAAAGCACAAGTCCTGGACAGTTTGGCACCACCTCTTGAACTTGGAAAACTCAGGAGGACTGTTAGAGGTCCTATCCCACCCCCAAGGCTTTAACATGTGACTGTGTGTGCTGCACGACTAGCCTTGAGTGGCATAAAAATCTTGTGAGAACAAGCTCCTGACACTTTGCTAGCAGTCCCTGTCACAGTCCTCTGTGAGTGGGTGTCCTCAGCACCTGCTGTCACCCAGGAGCACTCGTCTTCCTGCTTTGGCTTCACTGTTATGTGTAAAGCCCCAGGTACAGTCCTTAGCAAGGAGCTTTCCAGATGCTGGCTGGCTGGCTGGCTGGCTGTGTGAAGCTTGTCTGCTGAGTTTACCACTTTCTGCTTCAAGACCTGTTTTTTGTTTGGTTGTTTTTTTTTTTTACCTGAATGTACACTACCTGCTGGGTTCACCTCCCTTTCCTGGCTACAACTTCAACATCTACAAGTGTTTGTAGTTGAGAACAGGGCATGGTTTATTCAGGCTCTTCTGCTTCATTAGGTGTCCATGATTTGATCTTTCTGGACCTCAGTAACTTCATCAATAAAGTAGGAATGATGCTAAAATTCTGCCTCACCTGACTGTTGAGATGATAGATTGCAACTGGGTATGCAAACTGACCTTTTTGTATTGGTGACACAATGTCACTGTTACTCATATGGTCCTGGGACATGAGGGGAGGGGCGGTACTAAAAGAGATCATGTGTGAGGAGCAGATGATTGACATATTACTTATTGCGCAACTGCTTGATGCCGTGTACTGTGCTGGGTGCTGGGGATATGATGAAAGGATGACACAGACTCATCCTCCTGAGTGATAACCTGAAACACAGGTTTGAATGGTCATAAGGCGGCAGTCAGTGTTTGCTATGGATAAAAGACCTCCCCCACCCTCCAGCTCCTGTGTCTCTGGGCTTGTCAGCTGCTGCTGATTATTAGCGTGATGTTGGAATCTCTTCTCCCCACAAAATACTTCCCCAATATTTCTCCTTTGGAGACCCTGACTATGCCACTAAATCCAGAAGTCCCAGGTCAACTGGAACCAGGCTGGCACCTGTGACTGTCATGCGGATGTTCTCACTTGGTTCCCTCCTGCTGCAGCTCTGTCTGCCAGTCAGTTGTGCCCCCTCCCTCTTACCTGTCCTCCAGCATAACTCCTTTCTAGTTGTAGATACAAAAGAAAAGTCCTTTTTCTATGAACGGATGTATGTGTGTGCGGGAGGGTGGGGGGATAGAGAGGACTGGAGAAGGGGTTGCCTACATTAACAACCATCTGACAGAAATGCTTTGTTATGCAAATACTCTGGAACTTCCCTACAACCCTGTAAGGTGGGCGCAACACGAGGATAAGAAAGACAACTTGCTTGTGATTTGCTGCATGTCTCTAAACAGAATGCATAATAGCAGAAGCTGTAACTGAGTAACACCAAGATCTCTCTACTATTGGCGTTGTAGTAGACTTGCTCATCCTGAACCTTTTGGTGTTCCTTTATGGGCATAAGGCCACAGGTGCCTGCCCACTGGGTTCAGAGGGACATTTGGCCTACTGTTAACATTTCACAGGGGTCAGACACACAAAGAATCAGAAATGATTCTAAGAAGGAGATCTTCAGATGTGAGAATGGCTGGACTGAGGACACATGTCTGGAGTCCTGCATTTATTAATACCTTGATAATTTTGGAGACTTTTGTCAAGAGCTTCTATGAATTTTTAAAAAAGATTTATTGACTTTTATTGGAAATGTAGATCTACAAAGAAGAAAGACAGAGAGAAAGATCTTCCATCCACTGGTTCACTCCCTAAGTGGCTGCAATGGCCAGAGCTGAGCCAATTCGAAGCTAGGAGCCAGGAGCTTCT